ATCACGCTCTTCTGTATCCCGTCGTCATCCTCGGGCAACATTAACGATCACCTACTACGATATCAAAGCGACGTAATCACCGGGTTTAATTTGCGATAAGAAAACAACTAGACGTATCGCGTAGCAATAGAAAATGATATCAATCCGTGCAACGGCACGTTATCTCATATCCTAAATATTCCGCAGCGGTCGCTGTAATTTTCCTCCTCGTCCTAACAATTTCCGGCAGGAAATTCGATTCGATTTACATTAGAAGATTGAAGTTTGAAGATTTATACCGAAAGAGAATACTGTATGCTATGAAAATTAAAGTTATCGGAGATGGAGAAAAGTATGGGAGAGAGCATTGGGAAAGACAGTTTTCTACTCCATTCATAAAGTTTCAAGGAGTTTCCGCGGAAAATACGTAGGAAGTGCAATGAAAATACCTAGGTTGATACGACGAATCTGTGGGTTCGTCGACACGGGAATAAAACTTTCCCGATGGAAAGTAAAATAATCGATAAAACTTGGCGAGCATAGAATCGATATAATCTAGGAACGATCGAGTCGTGACCGGCACTAGTCCGATAATCCTTTGAATCTTTTTCGAAAGTCATTTCGAAATACCGAGGAAACGATTCGCGATTATTAAATGGCTAAAGTTGTGTCGCGCTAAGGTCCTCCAATAAAATTGTATTTGAAAATATTTCTAATTGATTAACGAGTCGTCAGATTCGTCCGTTTTATAATCGACGATCGAGAACAACGTTTAGACTTGGAAAGGGGAAATTTCAATCGGTACCTGCAATGCGGGTATATCATACCTGTGGGCATGTACTTAGGAAGGCGACCGCTGCGCAACGGAAGGTTTGCGTGCGACGTTTCGAGATGCATCGGACGGTGCACCGACCGATCGACCGCGGTGCACACGATACGAGGCGTTATGCAGCTTGTAAAACGATGCCTCCTCTCTATCTACGGTACCGCAGTGCGTTCCTCGGCTAGGTCGCGACCCCGGTTCGCTTCTCACCTTCTTCTTACCTTTCCTTCGATCCTCAACGGCTCGCACTTTTGATCCGTTGCAAATCGATCAAAACTGTTTTTAATCCCCAAACCGATCAAGCCATTTTTAAATTTTCAACTTTATTCGTCCATTTGTATTATTAAATTTACAATATATACTATTCTGTAATTACTTCCTAGGTACTTATAAATCGAAAAAATCTAATGGTTTGATCCTTTAATGAAAAAGAAAAAGAAAAGTAGACGTATTTTGTACAAGTACACGATCTCTTTTAATTTGCGATACCGATCGAACCTTTTCTTGTCGAAAGGACAAAGGGAAAAGTATTTGCGAATAGAATTCCGCAGACGTCGAAGATATCATCACTTATTTGTCCAACAAAGGGAGAGATAGGTTTCGCTCTAAACGGCGTGTATGGGAAAAGACGCTCGTTCGTCCAAGAGAGCTATCGTTTGAAAGACAAGTAGAAGCTTGCTTTTCTCTCCAACGAATGAACCTTCTCTATATCTTCTATGACATGGCGTGTTCCATTCGACGATGCAATAATTCGATTAGTTGGCAAAGTATTAATTGACGCGCCAGGGTATATACACTTGATGGAGTACACACACAGGCTCTGGACCATCGAGATGGATGAGAGATAGATGGATGAGAGAGCGAGAGAGATCGAGCGGATCGATGCAGCAACGGACGGACGTACGAAGCAAACGGTGCGTTTAACCGTCTCGAACGTGAAAGGTGTGGAGGGAGGTAAGGGAAAATATCAGTCGATCTTATCGAGTTTTTGAAATGGCACCGATCATAAGATGCGATCGTTAATACTATATACCCGATAAAAAAGAGTCACGATCGACAGTATACTTCAAATAGATGTCTTAGTAGTTAGGATATTATATTAAGTGTCGAAGACAAATGATCATGTAGCGTTCATCCAAAAGTATGTTCGCACATTTTTTTACGAAACGAATTATAACGTTGCACACTTTACGCCGAAGATAAGTAGATATATCAACGTCGTTAATCGTCACAATAATAAGATTAATGTTTCAAACGAAGAGATCGCGTTACGCAAAACTTTTACGAGAAGATCTCCAGAAAAGCGATTAGAAGATAAAATATATCATGTCTTTGTAATATATCGTGACGCGTCGCGGTATATTTTAAACGTTCGCTTTAATAATCGCGGATATTGTACGGGGTAAAGATTATGCACTTTGGCCAGTTCTTTCTTAAGATTCGTCCTTTTCTTTGGAGTAGTTTCGAGTCGATCGATGGTATATAAATAACGTATACGCTTCTTCTTTTTCCTACCTCTTCTTCCTCGTTTCATCTTTGCTCCCTCACGATCATTCGCTTTCCCTTACCGAATTTCTCTCTCTCTCTCTCTCTCTCTCTCTCTCTCGCTCGCTTGCTTTTTCTCTCTCTCTCTCTCGCTCGCTTGCTTTTTCTCTCTTACCTCTCTCTATTGGCTACCTCATCGCTCATCACTCCCCGGGGGGTGAAACCAGACCGTTTTCTCCTTGCAGACACGCTGTCAGAGACCTCGAGTGTAGGTTCAACAATCCACTCGGACGTCTTGGGTCAAGTGTCGTCTCGAACAAAGAAATCGAAATTCGAATTTATTCGATCTACAATATTCGAGAGTACAACATTCGCGGTATAACATTCGAGAGACTCGTTCAAATAAGTGTCCATTCGTATCGGAAAGAATCAGTCCGTAATGTTAAATCTTTAACCGTCCGTTTCCATCGCCCATGAGGCGGAAGTAAGCTATATTCGAAAGAGCATATTCGAATAATATCCGCGCATTCCGAGTTCGATCGACGTGAAGCGGAAATACCGCGGTCGCATAGTAAAAACGCATGGAATCGCGGAGAGAAGAGCGAAGAATTTATGGAATTCATGGAATCTCTTTCGTGATCGTTCACTCGCGAAAATTCCAGTTACGCTTATGTACGTAGACGCTAGCGTATGGTAGGAAAGGTGGCGCGAGAATGAGCCAGAAGAGAGATCGAGCTATTTTCTTCTATTCCCGAGAGAAGGGAAGCTTCTTGGCCTTTGTAAAATCTGCAAATGTGGTTATGGAAGTTGGAATCGAATTTGAATAAATATTTGAATAGCTATACGAGCCAATCCGTGTACGAGAGAAAATTTTTAAATCCCTTCTCTCTCTCTCTCCCCCTTCCCTCCCCACGAGGATCGTATGCTTAAGAATCGACGATAGAAAGGCATTAGAGGAGAGGCGGCGGACCGTCGAGTTAACGACCTCGGGACGAAAGTCCGGGGGCGATTCGGTAGGCCGGTAGAAAAGAGCGATAAAAATGAGCAATTAAGAGCGAAAGCCAAAAAGGAAGCTCTTATCGTGCCCGCCGCGTATCCTCAACGGCGGTGTGCCCGATCCATAACATTTACCGCCGCGCGCTCTTCTATCCTTTAACAGCTCCGCGATATGCACGAGCTACGTGCGTACGCGTTTGACAGCCTGTTAATATTTATCGCAGGAGTCAACTTGCAAACTCTTCGGTGCTAACGAAAGGTCAGTCGTTGCCGGTACGCGTTCAGTGTTGGTCGGTCGAAGAAGAAAGAAAGAAAAGAAAAGAAAAAAAAAATGAGAATGGCCTTTAACGAATTAAACGGAGACTCGCTCTACCGTACCGCATAACATATTTTTCTCTTCGAAGAGAAACTTGGTCTTTTATTCGTTGAAAGGTACGGTTAAACGTTTAAATTTATTTGATTTATTTTAAAGGGTCTTCGTACGCGACGCGACGTTAATACTATTTTATATCAGAGTCGACGAGTCAAAGTTAATCTTTACAAAGTCCTCGTGACAATTCGCGAGCACGCCAGAGTCGCATTCAGACTCGTAAAGCACGGTACTTTGCGATATTACGAGCATTTAAATGCTAGGAATCGTCTTATGAGATTGAATCTGGTCGATACCGTCGATCGAGAGGAAGATTAGAGAAGGGATTATCCGGAGGTCGACTCGCTTCCTCGAGAGCTAAAATAAGCCTGCTTGAAATTTTTATTTCTACATTTCTCGCGATCGTTGCTCGTAATCGGTAATCCTTATAGAGAAAAAAAAAAATAATACATTATCTCGAGCGTCGGATGGACGCGGCATCGTTCGAGGACACGCGATTCCGCGTGAACACTCGTTGAAAATTCTTCCTCTCTCTCTCTCTCTTTCTCTGTCAAGTTCTTTAACGATTTATTACCTTCGAACAGAAAGTGCAGGCCGCTCCTTTGGAGCTAGGTAGGGAAATAGGAAGATCAATACGAAGAGCTCCCTCGGCGTTTCTGGCTCTCTTTCACGCAACGTGAAATTCGCCGGTAAATTTGGAGTATAATTCGATATTCGAGTCGAAACCAGTAGGAAACTCCCTTTGGGATCATTAAAAAATGTCTTTAACGAAAAATCTCTCGAGAAACGGAATCAACGTCCCTTCGAGTCGTCGATTTTATATGAAAATATCGGATTATACTAAGAGGCGGTAGAGAGAGAGAGAGAGAGAGAGAGAGAGAGAGAGAGAGAGAGAGAGAGAGAGAGAGAGAGAGAGGTAGGAAAATCGATGTTCCTTCGTCGACTTGGCACGTTTCCCATTTTACGATGTCGAGCGAGGTGAGAGAAAAATAAGAGACCGGAGAAATGCCGCATTGGGTGGTCTTTAATTGACTCGTTCTTTGACGATCCTTGAAAAGGAACGTGAGACGTATTGCGCCGCAATTTCTCTCGTTTCGTTTCGTTATTATATTTTTGATTGCCATTGTTTTCAATCGTTTGAAATGTTTCCAATAGAATTTCGTCGATACGCACGCCCCTACTACCCGTTCTCGATACAATATGCGAGCTTTCGCGAGAGCACGACTCATCTTCTTCTTCCTAATCGAGAAAAAATCACGTGCGAAGCGCAAGTTCGTAGAAAAGTTATGACGTTAACTGAAGTACTTTAATCTAATCTAATCTGACATCGTGTCTATTTTGTTCCAGATAGCGAAACAATTGAGGAGCCATGGCCTTCGAATCTTGAAAGCTCAACAACGTTCGATGCTTCGGCCGTGGTCTACGCGCAAAATCTTTTGGAAGATCTTCTTTCCGCATATAAATTAGACGTGTACTTTTGATTTCTTTTGCGAAACTTTGACGGAGAACTTTCCTTTCTCTACATCGCCGCCGTTCGGGATAAGAGGTAAGACTCCTTAGTCCATTTGATTCACGAATAGGTACGACTTTTTCATGGAAATATTATCGTCAGATCTTTGATGGGAGCACGTAATGTTTATATTCAACGTAGGAAACAAGCTGTCTTGCCGAAGGAAACTCGAATAACGGTTCGAGAAATATGAGAAAGAATTATTCGATACGGCGAGTCCTTTTCGTTCGTTCATTTTTTCACTCTTCCGTCTTCCCATTTTGTCCATTTTTTCCTCGGATAGAATTCCTTCATTTCTCGGAAATGTTAACAAAAGAGATTTATTTACGCTACAAGAATATCTTCTAGACCGTAATAGTAGTAGTAATAGTAGTAGTAGTAGTAGTAATAGTAGTAGTAGTAGTAGTAGTAGTAGTAGTAGTAGTAGTAGTAATAGTAGTAGTAGTAGTAGTAGTAGTAGTAGTAGTAGTAGTAATAGTAGTAGTAGTAGTAGTAGTAGTAGTAGTTCGATTGTTTTACTTTGGCTCGATAAGCGAACACTACTTGAAGCACGGAGCTTTGTTCATTCCTATGTTTCAATAGAATTCTCTTCGTTCAAAGAATGTCCGAGGTTGTATTAATCTTTAGAGAAAAATCCAACATCTTATATCGTCGTCGAAGAAATAGGAGCTTTACGGTGATTAATTCTTTAGTCGTACTTTCGGGTCCATCACGGATCCGACTGTGAACCCGAAAGACAAGGTGAAGGTTTTTCTAACCTTTCGTGGTTTTAGCTTTTATACGCGAGAAATAACTTCGCGCTCGTCGGTCGATCGACTCTCTTGGCTGACCCCTCGCGTTTTCAACGTTGACAACTATTGCCTCCGTTCGTCTTCCTCCATGTCCCCGTTCATCTTACTTTATGCTAACGTTTTACACGTGCCCTCGAGATGCCAAGAGAGAAAATCTTTTTCCTCTTCTATATTAACCTTTTTTGCTTTTGCGACTTAAAATATCTTTGTATCGACGTAGAAAAGTACTAAGTTTTCGAAGAGTACTCATTTAAAATCTTTAACGAGTTTCGCGCTTGTAATCTTCTAGCTAAACGCTTTCTTTGACATACTCGAAGACTTTATTAGCTCTCGCTGTATTTCAATGGTTCGTCTCGATAACGCTATCGCTAGTCGTAGGAAGCAATCCACTTTTTCTTTTCAGATTTCCAATCGCTCGAGAGCTTTTATCTTACGTCACGGCTTCCGGATTTGCCATTTATCCGATGGCGTGCCTTTTCCCGTAATGGACCACATCTATGTTTTCCGTTGAATTTATACGCGATGCTTCTTCGGTCGTGGTTGTACTTTCTTTCTCGCACGCACGCACGCACGCACGCACGCACGCACGCACGGACCCACGCATCTCGTTTCCTTTTCTCCGAGTAAATGGAAGTGCCGAGCCAAACAAAGAGCTCTATGCGAGGATAGAAATACGTGTAATCCTCAATGTTCGTATTATCCTGATCGTACGTGAGCCTCTCGATGATCGTTTAATTTAAATTATTGGAAATTTTATTCCCTTACCCTCGCATTCTACGAAGTCTAAACCCATTGGTCGTTACGACTGTAAGTTGCTTTGTTCTTTATTCTATTCATAAAAAAGACGTGGTGAGTATTTGGGTATAGAAAAAAAAAAAGAAGAAAAAAACAAAAAGCAAAAGAAAGAAGAATAAAAAAAAGAAGTACCTTCCCTCGAACCCTTCCCTTCGTCTATAAAATTCCTATCTCGTGCGATGTCTACGTATGTAGGTACATCCGTTATTCTCCAACTTATCTCTCGCCAGGTGTCCTCTTTTTATTGCAATATGCAAAAATCCTCCTTTGAGATTCCGAGGAATAATGAAACGTAGTGCTCGTGCCCGGTACAATGCGCTCAGCTAGAATAGGCGCAATCGAGCCTTCGATAATGCATTCCGTTCGTGCAACTTCCGAACGCGCGAAATACGTTATTCCTCGAAAACTCCTCGCTATAGACTTTAGACAAAATTTCTCTATCGCGTCGAATTGCGAATCGTAACGAGATGAAAAAAAAGAAAAATATCTGACCATTTCTTGACATCTTCTCGTGAAGATTACATAAAGACGAAAGAAATTCGTCGAATATTTCGACGACTCGACGTAAAATTGATTTCGCAGACAAATAAACGGGAAATGAAGCTCTTTCGCGTTAAAACTCATATCATTTGAATTTCGGAGTAGGTTATTTTAAATTCCTTGCGTTCTACATTCGACACGATTTTATGAAATACGTAGCAAGTTTAAACTACGTATCTGTTTCCTACCTAGAATGGAAATTATTTGGAAAATTTTTCGATTCTTCCTATATCGCGGCTCCAATCTAAATACAGGTGAGATTTATAACGAGCGAAAGGTATCGCGATCATAACGAGATCGCTTAACGTATATCTTTGATACGTTTCGAATTACAACGGACGTGAAAACATTTTGAAATTTCCCTATGTTTGTACCGAAATGTAATTTTTTTTTTTTTCGTAGGGTAAGTGCGTCGAGTGTTTCGAGTTACCATTCGTAAATAAAACGAAAAGCTTCTTGTTTCGTAATGATTTAAAAATTAACTTTTTCGATTTACGTTTATAACCGAAGATCCATTTATAACCGTATTAGTCGAGAATCTCGAGTATAAAAGCTTCGAGCTCGTCGACTTAATGGCGTTAAACATTCGTCAAGGCGAACATTCGAAACAGCACTCGAATACATCCATGCAAACGAGCTGTGTATACTGCGACAGTAAACAAGTAAGTAATTAAGATAATCTAGGAAGGATTTCTCTCTCTCTCTCTCTCTCTCTCTCTCTCTCTCTCTCTCTCTCTCTCTCTCTCTCTATCGCCGAACGATTCTACGCGCTGCTTCTTGGACTAATAAATATTAATGATATTAGCGGTTTAAACGAGACTATCGAATCGGGAATATTTCTTGTATCTTTTTTAATCGTCCGTGTCGAAGAGTCATTCTCGAGTCGTATTTTCGAAGTAAAGATTATCGAAATGAGATGACGAAACGATTGAGATATAAAGCGCACGCGACGACGAACTCGCGTTTCCCCTTTTATTTATTGTGCGTTCTACCGCCTTCGTCCTCTTGGCGCCACTGCGTGGTGCACATATGTGTGTGGTGTCAGCGCGTGCACATGCACGAAAGAGAAAAGGAGAGAACACGAATGCACGGTCATGCGCATTAACGTACATATGTACACAAGGCTTCGTACATAACTCGTATATAAATCGTATATAAATCGATTCGTTATGTGGGCATCAGAGTATCGATTATTATCTTGCGCTTATGTCTATTTATAGCCACGGGCCGGCTCGTTCCTCTTTGTTGGCGCCACGTTTCCCGACTGGATGCACGGCGTAAACTATATGCCTCTCGTTTCACGTTCGCACACACGCGTTAACGAACGAACGGCGAAGTCCCGCTTACGCACCATACGCGGCGCACATACCCTGTCATGTACGCATCATGTACATACGTGCTCATCAGCTTATGTGTATACTATGCATTTATGTGTATACATAGACGTAGTACGTATCTATCCTTGCAGAAACACGGCAAACAAGGAAGTGCTGCTTCGAGGAGTAGATGCCTGCATATGGCTGCTGCTTGCGTAGCTACTTCTTTGCGCGTCGAGCTTCCTTTATCCAAGAATTATCAACTTCCGTCATCCATTTATTTATTCATTCACCCATTCATTCGTTCATTCATTCGTTTATTTATCTATCTTCTTTTTCCCTTCGAATCATTATTACTTATGTCTCTCGAGCGATAGATTAAGAAAGTTAATTAAACGTTGTAAACGTTTGTAGATCGATTAAAGCAAATGCTTTTCACGTAGCTTTATTAATTCTTTGTAAATCATACGCACACAGAGTCGGAAATGAATCGACTTGACTGCCGTGATAGACCAATCACGTTCTAAACTGTCTCAATAAGACGGAACCGTTGCGCCTTAAAATATTCCGTTTTGCAGTCGTACAAGGGACCGAAGCGTTGCACTCGATGGAATATTGAATGACGTGTTTCTGCCACCGTCTGCATGAATGCAGCTTATAGGCGCGTTAACTTTCCCTTCTCTCCGATACCTTACATGACAAGACTTTAACCTTCATTACACATGTACACTTGCTTATACAAATATTCCTATACTAAATATTAAAACTTTTTTCTAATACAGGTCGTCTTACGCGCATCCTATAAATTACTTTATCGAAGAAACGCGAATTGTACTAATTCAATTTTCTTATCCTCGTCGGCGTATCTCACGAGATAAGCGCGCGGGACTAAACGAGACCAAAGGAAAAATTAATGAACAGTTTCGTCGCGTGAGAATTGGGGCCGATAAATTGACAAAATCTCGATATTGAGAAACCCTATTGTAGTATCGAACGTGTAGATTTGCTTTCTGTGCGGTTTCCCGTTCGCGAGCTTCCCGTTAATTATCTATCATTGGTGCTGGACCAAAATCCAATTGGTCCAGCACCGGTACGAGCATGTACGTGGATGAGGGACAATAGAACGGAGGGATAAAGAACCAATTTGATTAGTAGCTTCAAATTTTTTAATTAAAACTAAGTACATGCCTACGAAATAAAGAAAAATCTCCGATAAAATTTACTCGCGAAACTTAATTATTTATATGGAATGCAATATAATTTTAAAGAGTTAAGCAGCCATTAGCTCGATATGTTGTCGTGCGATATATCACACGATATGCATACCATAGCGAATAATATCGATTGGAGCTTGCCGCTATTGGAGTCCCACATTTTAGAAATAAATCGATTATTTCTAAAGACGGTAACTGTCAAAGTAGAACGAACTTTTCGAGTACGACAACGATACGTACGTCTACGTTTATAGGCACCATTTACGTGTACGCGTATTAGTTTGCTACTGCTAGATTCGTGGTAACGCCAATAAAAAAATGGCTTCGATCGAATAAACGCGATTAATGCTACGAAATAAAATATTACCTCCCATTCGACA